GTTACCCATAATTTCGGAAACGATCTCTGTGAGCGATTTTGATTTTGAATTTTCTGTCAGTCTCCTTTTGGATGGTATCACATGCGAAGCAACGATGGCTGAACTTTGTGTTAATAATGTATCCAACGCCGCTAGGCAAGACGATATTTTTTGTGCAAGAGTTCCATTGATTTCTTTTTCTTCGTTTCCACGAGTTAAAAGATAAGCCATACCGACGTCACCGATGCCTCCCCATTGGATAGATTGCTGTAAAATTAAAAATGTGTAAAGAAATATTGTTTCTACAACACCTATTWGGCACTGATGTTGAAAATGCATGAGATACAATGGAACGCGGTGTAGAAACAATTTTTTCTTACCGCTGGCAGACCWCGTTTTTGTCTTTGTTCTGAAATTCTTTCCATAATAGAGTTTGCATAACCGTAATTGGTTTGCCCCCTGTTGCCCCGACCACACGAAATGGACGAAAACGTGACGAAATATTCAAGATCCTTGCTAGCGCCTTCCGATGCTTCGTCTAAATATTTTGTAGTTAAGACTTTACTGTTGTACACTGTCTGGAAGTTAGCAACTGTTTGGTTTTCAAAGATTCCGTCTCTCAATACCTAAATTTATAAATTTCATTCTTTAGACRGTGATGTTTTTAAACTCGAAATGAAATTTATTAAAAATCGTACCCCGGCTAAGTTGAAAATTCCACCAAGTGGTCCTAGAGTGAGRGCCAATTGTACAGTGTTCTTGGCTCCCGACAATGTTGTGAGGTCGAATGTGCTGATTTCCACTTTGATATTTTGGTTTTTCCAAATATTTACTCTATATTTCTGGTATCCMGTTTGAATTCCACTCCGAGAACAGAGAATAATATTCWTTGCCCCGCGTTCTATAGCCCACTCGGTAAGTTCCATACCGAATCCACCGAGACCACCTACAATCGATTTCAATCATTAAATTTATAATCTAAATACCTTTGTTTTAGAATTACCTGAAAGTATGTAACTTTTTCTTGGATCAAAGTACACCCGTTGGWATGCTGCAAAATTCGTGCTCAGAGACTCCCCATTTACTTCAACAATTATCTTACTTCCAATCTTATTATTGGCGTATGATCTATATGAACACCATATTTTATCGAATCATGAATAAATATTTTAAATATCATTATAATTTACCTGAAAGCAGATTCGACATCAGAATGATGGTAAATAGTGAACGGTAGCGGTTTTACAACACCCAGTTTTATTCTAGACTCTATGAAYGAGTATATTTTGTCAATTATAGATGCATCATTTAAAATAGGAATATCTTCGAATTTAGCTGATACAACTCTAAATCCATTTGGTGAATCTAAATAAYAATAATAAAATTAGATTCTTATAATATATATTCCCATGCCAAATTGTTGTACAAGAAAAATAAATCTWCACAAATAAACATCAATTATTATTATTATCATTATTATTCATAAAACGTTAATTAAAAATCAATATAATATKCATGGCTAATTGTTATCTAAATTAAAAAATAAATATGTAGAAATTTACTTGATAAAACTGAAACATCTGTATTTTCAGTAATGATAATTTTTGCGTCATCGGCAAGCAATTCTGGCAGACGATTGGGACAATTTTTGGASAGAATAGCATAATCTACTCCTTGATTTAGAGTCAACTTTGATATCATGTGAATGAACTTTGAATCAAACCTTGTAGTTGAAACCTGACTAACCTTTATTTAATAAAAAACATAATATTAAACACCCAGAAATAAATTTTATTCTAACAAACATWTCCACAACTCACTTCTGGGTAATTGGTTTTAATAACTTCAAGTTGTTCATTAGTTTCAGCTACGACAAAYACTTTGCACTTGAGCGACAGTGCTATAGGAATAACCGCGTAATTTATACTATTTTCACTTRTAAATACCAACACATTTTTGGATTCTGATAAATATCCTTTATGAATTAAAGCGTATGTGGCCTAATAAATATTGAAATTGTATTTTATCTCAAATCATATGATTTTGAAATGCAAGAAACATTACCACATAATAAGAGTATGGGACAGTTGCGGCTTGACTCAAAGTCCAAGTAGGCGGTACATTCCATAAAATAGCGTTATTCTGATTGACAA